CGAACATAACAAACTGCATGGCTCATGTACCTAGAAGGTCACAATAAGCAAACAGAATGTAGAGGAGGGGTCAGCCTATAAAAGGGAAGAAAGTTTCGTTATTGGGAAATCGAAACTTAAGTGGAGAAGGGGACCAGGGTATAACCTTGGCGGATAAATGAAGGCGGATAATGAAACTTTGGTGACATCAGAGAAGATTGTAACCCCATAGTACTTGACCAGTGGGGAACTGGTGGAGGGACTTGTGTGCTAGGAGATAAATTATCTGCTGTAGCTGCCCTGGGTGTGCCTGCCCACCAGACACTCGATCTTGCAAGACGCTATTAAAAAGTCTCACTTTTGCTGTTCTTTGTGCCTCCAAGTCCATTCTTTGGGTTTGGATGGGTGAGTGTGTTTCTCACAGACCCATTTGATACTCAAAAATATTTTAAAGGTGTTAGTAACCATGAGCATTTATAAAAATCTGATTACTTACCTAGTGGCAAGACAATTTAAATACATTTTGCAAAAACTGAGACTTTATGATGCACATTCTGACATCAAGATTCCATAAAAATAATAAAATAATATTCCTCTTTTAATAAAAAGTTTAGATAAACCATGGATAAAAGATAAAAGGAAAATTACGAATTATCTAAAAAGGAATGAAAAAGAGAATCTATAGGATACAATGAAGACAGTAATAAAAAGAAAAATTTATGACCTTACATGCTTCATTACTAAAAGGGGAAAACTGAAAAAGAGGAACTACTCATATTGAAAATTAGAGGGAGAAAAAAAATTACTAAAGATAAAAAGCAGTACTTAATAAAATAAAACTAAAAAATAAATGCAGAAGTTAGTTATTTGATAAGATGAAGAAGATACTTAAACCCTATGGATCTGACTGAGGGGAAAAAGCATAAATATTTAAGATTACAAATAGTAAAGGAAACTAAAATCATAATACAGAAGAGTTTAAAGGATTATGAAAACATGAATCTACACATATGATAAAAATCACAAAGACTTGTATACAACATATACATGTGTAAATTCATGTACTCATAATCCTTTAAATTCATATACGTTGTTTTCAATATCATTTTTGAGAGAGGGCATTCAAAATTCAATGTGAAAACAAGAGCAGTAACAAAGTATATTTTATATTACTGTTGGGCCCAACAAATTTGTTTACAAGTTGCCAAAACCCCTGCAAATGAAACAATAAAAGCCTAAAAGAAGCATGAACATGTGCATAATCTACTAATTTGCTGGTCTTTGAAATAAATGAGACCAGAGACAGCATACTATTATAGTTTCTATGCTCTGATGTTAGGATTGAAGATGATTAATGATGCACATGGCTATTACTATTTATTGAGTGCCTCTGATGTGCCAGGCATTATTCATGCAACCAATTATCTACAGAGCACTCACTGTGCCAGTCACAGCTGTAGTCATCTGGGGCACATGGTTGAACAGAAAAAAAAAATGCTTGCCCTTACAGAGTTTATCAGTGCACACAGTCACTTTTAAGTATCGTAGGAGCCCTTGAGAGATTATTTCTTTTATAGTTGCAGAAACTGAGCCACAGAGAAGTCACTTGTTGAAGATCACAGTTAGTGGTCAGTTCTGTGTGACTCTAAAGCCTTTCCACTATGCTACTCTACTTTCTAAAAATGGCATACTAAGAGCAGGAGCTACAGAGTCAGACTGACCTGGTTTTGTACCCATCAAAACCATAGCAGACTGTTTAAATTACATTCTTGTAAATCTAGAAAATACACGATAACAATACAGATTAACCCTGTAAAAATACGCCCCAATATAAAGTCTAATGTTGTTAATCTCCCTACCATCTTTCTGTGTGATTTTGCTTATAACAGAGTTTACTACAATTTCTTTTCTCCATTGAGAGGAAAAGCAAATTTGGCTGAAGATGGGATATTATCAGTGAGGTAGGGGGCAAGCTGCTGTCTTCAGCAGTAAGACAACTAGAGAGTAGAAGGTGAATGTCTCTGGTTAAGTTACAGATGGCAGTTTTGTCTTTTCCATGGCCCTGGTTGTAATAGCTCTCATTTCGTTTCTAACTGAGCTTATTTGGATCTTCTCTCTTCATTTTTTGGTTAATCTCACTAATGGTCTATCAATCTAATTTAACTTTGCAAATAGCCAGCTTTTTGTTTCATTTATCTTTTGTATTTTGTTTCAGTTTCATTTAGTTCTGCTCTGATCTTGGTTATTTCTTTTGTTCTGCTGGGTTTGGGTTTCGTTCTTGTTTCTCTAGTTCTTTGAGGTGTGACCTTAGATTGTGCTCCTTCAGACTTTTTGATACAGGCATTTAATGATATGAACTTTCCTCTTAGCACTGCTTTTGCTGTATCCCAGAGGTTTTGATAGATTGCATCACTATTATATTTCAGTTCAAATAATTTTCTAATTTCCATCTTCATTTCATTGTTGACCCGATGATCATTCCAGAGCAGGTTATTTAATGGTCCGTGTATTTGCATGGTTTTGAGGGTTCCTTTTGGAGTTGATTTCAGTTTTATTCTGCTGTGGTCTGTGAGAGTACTTGATATAATTTCGATTTTCTCAAATGTATTGGGACTTGTTTTGTGGCCTATGATACAGTCTATCTTGGAGAATGTTCCAGGTGCTGATGAGTAGAATGTATATTCTGCAGTTGTTGGGTAGAATGTTCTGTAAATGTCTGTTAAGTCCATTTGTTCTAGGGTATAATTTAAGTCCATTGTTCTTTGTTGACTTTGTCTTGATGACCTGTCTAGTGCGGTCAGTGGAGTATAGAAGTCCCCCACTATTATTGTGTTGCCATCTGTCTCATTCTTAGGTCTAGTAGTAATTGTTTTACAAATTTAGGAGCTCCAGTGTTAGATGCATATATACTTAGGATTGCGATAGTTTCCTGTTGGACCAGTCCTTTTATCATTATATAATGTCCCTCATTGTCCTTTTTAACTGGCTGTTGCTTTAAAGTTTGTTTTGTCTGATATAGGAATAGCTACTCCTGCTCACTTTTGGTGTCCATTTGCATGGAATATCTTTTCCACCCCTTTACCTTAAGTTTATGTGAGTCCTTACATGTTAGGTGAGTCTCTTGAAGACAGCGGATACTTGGTTGGTGAATTGTTTTCCATTCTGCCATTCTGTATCTTTTAAGTGGAGCATTTAGGCCATTTACATTCAATGTTAGTATTGAGATGTGAAGCACTATTCTATTCATTGTGCTAGTTGTTGCCTGAATATCTTTTTTGTTTTCCTCATTGTGTTATTGTCTTATAGGTCCTGTGAGATTATGCTTTAAGGAGGTTCTATTTTGGTGTATTTTGAGGATTTTTTTCAAGATTTAGAGCTCCTTTTAGCAGTTCTTGTAGTGTTGGCTTGGTAGTGGTGAATTCTCTCAGCATTTGTTTGTCTGAAAAAGACTGTATCTTTCCTTCGGTTATGAAGCTTCTTAGTTTCGCCGGATACAAAATTCTTGGCTGGTAATTGTTTTAAGAAGGCTAAAGATGGGACCCTAATCCCTTTTAGCTTGCTGGGTTTCTGGTGAGAAATCTGCTGTTAATCTGATAGGTTTTTCTTTTACAGGTTGGTTTCCTGATGTGTTTGCCTTACAGTTCTTAAGATTCTTTCCTTCATCTTGACTTTAGATAACCTGACAACTATGTGCCTAGGTGATGATCTTTTTGCAATGAATTTCCTGAGTGTTCTTTGAGCTTTTTGTATTTGGATGTCTAGATTTCTAGCAAGGCCAGGGAAGTTTTCCCTGATTCTTCCCTCAAATATGTTTTCCAAACTTTTACATTTCTCTTTTTCCTTGGGAACACCAATTTTTCTTACGTTTTGTTGTTTAACATAATCCCAAACTTCTGGGAGGCTTTTTTTTCTTTTTTCCCATTTTTTTTCCTTTGTCTTTGTTATTTTAAGCCTTGTCTCAGCTCTGAAGTTCTTTCTTCTACCTGTTTGATTCTATTGCTGAGACTTTCCAGTGTACTATGCATTTCTCTAAGTGTGTCCATTTCCAGAAGTTTTTTTATCTATGCTATCTATTTCTCTGGATAGCTTTCTGTCCATATCCTGTCACATTTAAAAATTTCTTTGAATTGGTATTCACCTTTCTCTGGTGCCTCCTTGAATAGCTTAACACTCGACCTTCTGAATTCTTTTACTGGCAATTCAGAGATTTTGCCTTGGTTTGGATCCATCACTGGTGAGCTAAAGTGATATTCTGGGGCTCTTAAAGAACCTTTTTTAATCATATTATCCGAATAGTTTTTCTGGCTCCTTCTCATTTGGATAGACTATGCCAGAGGAAAGACTGGGGGCTCAGGAGCTGCTGTTCTGATTCTTTGGTCCCATGGGGTGCTCCCTTGATGTGGTACTCTCCCCCTTCCCCTGGAGATGAGGCTTCCGGAGAGCTGAACTGCAGTGACTGTTATTTCTTTCCTGGGTCTAGCCACCCAGCGGAGCTACCAGGCTTCTGGCTGGTTAATGGGGAATGTTCGCAGAGTCGTGTGATGTAATCCATTTTCAGGTGTCTCAGTCGTGGATACCAGCACCTGATTGGGGAGTGCACTCTGAGGGTCCTTGGTTGTAGTTTTGTTTAGTGTGCTGTTTTTTGTGTTGGTTCACTTCCAGCCAGGAGGTGGTGCTTTCCAGAAAGCATCAGCTGTGGTAGTATAGGGAGGATACAAGTTTGCCCTAGGGCCGTCTGGATAAGTATTTGGGTTTCTCAGGTGGTAGGAGGGACAATAGAGCTCTCAAGAAATTTATGTCCTTTGTCTTCAGCTATTAGGACAGGTCTCAGAGAAAGACCATCAGGTGAGGCCAGGGTTAGGCTGGTCTGAGCTCAGGCTCTACTTGGGCAGGGCTTGTTGTGGCTGCTGTGGGGGATGGAGGTGTGGTTCTCAGGCCAATGGACTTAGGTTCTCAGGAGGATTGCGGCTGCCTCTGTTGTGTCACACAGGTCGCCGGGGAACAGTGACAGGCCACACCCAGCTCCCATGCAGCCTGAAAGGCTGGTCTTACTCTTCCGGTGTCCCCTCCAAGTTTATTTCCAGGCAGCCGGTGAGCAGGGCTGAGAACCTGCTCCAGGCTACAACCCCCCTCACTGAGAAAGCAAGCAGGCCTTTCAGGTTTTGTACCTCCCAGTCTGCCGCATCTTCTGTGATCATATCTGCACTCCCTGTTTGCCACCTTCACCAGATTCTGTCCAGGAAACTTCACATTCCATCAAAGTTGTTACAAAGTTCAGCTGGAAGATTCCTTTTCCCTGTGGTCTTTCCCCAATTGCACTGGCAGTCCTCCCCAAGGACTCCTGGGAGACAAAGTCAGAAATGGCTTCCCTGGGAATGAGAGTGCCCACAGGGCTCTCCCCACTGCTTCCTCTACCCCTGTATTTTGCTTGGCTCTCTTAAATTCATCTCAGCTCCAGGTAAGGTCAAATCCATCTCACATGATCTGGACCTTCAGGTTCCCCTTCTCACACTTTGGTCGCTCACAGATTTTTGGTTGTCTCACGGAGCCTGCAGTGGCAAGCTGCTTCCTTCAAGGGGTCTGTGGATTCTCTCAGCTTTTATGTTTCTGCAGTATTTCTTGGATCGAAAGCCCACGATGTGAGTCTCTACAGGCTGCTCTGTCCATCCGAGTCAGAGCTGCGAGTTAGTTCTGCCTCCTACCTGCCATTTTTTCCCCCTGTCCTTTCTTATAAGGTCACTCATCTCTTTCATGAGGGTCTTCATTCTTACAAGCTAATTTCCCCCAAAGGCCCCACCTTCTAATAAATATGTCACATGGGAGATTGAGGCTTCAATATATGAATTTTGGGGGAACACAAACATTCACTCCACAGCAACATCAAAACATTCATTGTAGTAGTAACTTTTTGTTTAAATTCAGTTAGAACATGAGAGTCAACATCTGGATGAGTAGTTACTGATCCTAAAATTTAAGCAGGGAGAATCACAATACATGAGGGGTAAATAAGAACTTTTAGTGGGTTGAACAGTGTCCTACCAAAATACCTGGCCACTGGAACTTAAGACTGTAATCTTATTTGGAAATAGGATCATAGCAGATTTAAGGTAAGGATTGAGATGAGATCATTGTGGATGCAGGTGTCATCTAAATCCCAAAAAGTGTCTTTACATATAGAAATATAGTGAAGACAGAGGCAAAGGTTGGAGTTACGCAGTGACAAGCTAAGGTATCCCAGGAGTTGCTAGAAGCTAGAAAAGGCAAGGAAGGATTCTCCCCTACAGCCATGGGATGGGTTTGTGGACCTGTCAGCATCTTAATTTTGAATTTCTAGTCTCCAGAACTATAAGAAAATGAATTTTTTATTGTTTTAAGCCACAAAGTTTGTGGTAATGTTTTATGGCAGTCTAGAATACAGTATTCATTAAGAAATATCTAATGACAAGGATTTTTTTTTTTGTAGTCTTGATTTTGGGGAAGAAAATTTCTTCTAAAGTTTTATTGTAGTTTTGAATTATAAAGTGGTATATTTTGAGAAGAAGGAAGCATGATAACCCAACTATATAGAAATAGCTATATATAAAATGGAGACTTTTAATTTTCTGAATCTGTCTGAACAGGTGAACTGCAGGTTCCTATGGAAAATAGGTCCCTACGGAGCTGCCATTTTACAGCAGTTACTACAAACTACAGAGATCTGTTCCTTAGTTGAGGAACAGAGGCTATGATAGTAGTTCTCAAACTCTAGTTGCCTAAGAATACTTGGGGAATTGAAAATGAGTCCTGGGCTTCATTCCCAAAGACTCTCCCTTAGTTTGTATGGCTGGGATGAGGCAATCAGTATTTTAACAAGCACTCCAAGAGGTTATGATCAGATACAGGGGTTGGAAAGGCCACACGGGGAAATACATATTGGGTTATGGGGATGGTTTTCAGCAGAGAGGACCATGGGAAGTTGTATTCAAGAGCTGGGTTCTGGAATCACACAAAATACTAGGTTTTTTTTTGGCTTAATTCCACTCCTTGCTGATGTATGGCCCTGAGAAACATACACAACCTTGGGGAGGATTAATTGAGATTATCCTAAGTAAGTGATCAATGAATGTTGCCTATTAAAATTATTTTAAAATTTACTTAAGGCAACAACAATTTTAACTTACATGATAGAGTGAATTACTAAGTAATAACAGTTAACTACCATAACTTGTGCTCATATAGTAGGAGATTTGTTTAGGGCATTGGAAATAGTTTATTCCCACTTTGGAACCTGGTAGATAAATCTTGCTAGATATGATTTTGGATAACTCTGGGACACGAAATGACTAAGGATTGGAGGGAAAAACTTAAAGGGAAGAAGGCAAAGATAAGCTCTGCCGATACTGCAATTTTGCCTGAAGATCCTGGTGGCTTCTAAGTTTAGTACTCAAAATGAATTCTTGCTGCATTTGGCATGCTCAGCTTATTAATGACAAAGTTACGTACCTGGGCTGGGTTGAATAGTGTCCTTCCTGACCTCTAATTCAGCCCAGTTTCTCAGTTAATCCCAAACCTTTATTCACAAGGAAAACAACCAGAAATTCTTTTAAAAATAGGTGCACGAGTAAAGTATCTTTTTTATTAGCACTAAAATATCTTGTAAAGTTTCATATCTGTAAAAACCTTCATCGGTGGGATAAGACAGAAAGTGAAAGTGGCAAGGAATGCAGACACCTTATAGAGGTTTACTGACTAATGCCAGGGTGAGCTGGAGAGCAGATCTGGTGGTCTGGAGCCTGAATCCTGAATCCAAAAGAGAATGCTATGGTCTTGGTGTTAGAGCCATGTGGGAAGTAAGTTTCATATTACCATCTTTTCAACACCAGTATTCACTCAGCTAGGGCTATAATTACCAGCAAAATTTTTATCTAGTTCTAGTGTCTATAAGTAGTATATAAAGATACAAGGTTAATGTATAATCAAAACTAGTGGTTCTCAACCTTTTTCCTACTCCTAGCAGCTCACTAGGGCAGAGATGCTCAACCAGGGATTATGTAGGAAGATGTGTTTGAAAAATTACCCAAGTCATTACGTGGACTATTCTTGGTCTTCTAAATTCCACATATCTAAAATAACATTAAGAAGCCATATAGCTCTACTATAGCACTTGTTACCTGACTTGTTACCATCTACATAATAGCACTTGTTACCAGACACCTGGCACTAGAGATCCTAATCACTGCAATAAGGCAAAAACAAAAAAGGGCATACAGATCAAAGTAAAACTTTTTATTCACAAACTATGATGTAGAGAATCCTTAGGGGTCTACAAAACTACTAGAACAGGTAAATAGATTTAGCAAGGTTACAGGATACAAATTCATTATTAAATCTATTTCTAGATACTAGCAATGAAGAACTGAACACTGAAATTTTATTTTTTTAACTTTTAGGTTTGGGTGTACATGTGAAGGTTTGTTACATAGGTAAACACACGTCATGAGGGTTTGTTGTACATATTATTTCATCACCCAGGTATTGAGTCCAGTACCCAATAGTTACCTCTTTTGCTCTTCTCCCTCCTCCCACCCTCCTCTGTCAAGTAGACCCCAGTGTCTGTTGTTTCCTTCTTTGGAACACTGAAATTTTAAAAACACCATTTACAATATCAAATTTATGAAACACTTGGTAGTAAATTTTATAAAATATGTGCAAGAATGCAAACTATAAAACATGACTGAGAGAAAGACACATAAATGGAGAGATATACCATGTTCATAGACTGGAAAATTCAATATTATTAAGATGAAATTTCTCTACATTGCTCTATAGATTCAAAGGAATCCTAATAAAAACTTCTGGTCTGTTTCTGTGTATAAATTAACAAACTGATTCTAAATTTTATATAGATGTGCAAAGGAACTAGAATAAGAAAACAATTTTGAAAAAGAAAAAGGTGGAGACTGGGCATTAGCTGCTCATTTCAGGACTTACTATAAAGGTTCAGTAATCGAGACGATACTGTAGGAAAGTTAGACATACAGATCAGTGAAACAGAACGGGGTCTAGAAACAGATGAACACAGAAAATCTTTGTGAACTGACTAGGCAACAGTTTCTTACACAGGACACTGAAGAGCACAAATAATAAAGTAAAATTGAAAAATTGTACTTTGTCAAAATTAAACACTTCTACTCTTCATAAAACAGTATTAAGGAAATAATAAGGCAAGCCACAGATTGTAAGAAAATGTTTGCAAACCAAATATATTAACTTTTATCTAAGATATATAAAACATTCTTACAAGTCCATAATAAAGTAACCCCATGTTTTAAATTGGATAAAAAATTGGAAGTAACCTATCACCAATGAAGGTATATGAAAGACAAGCCCAGGAAAATATGCTTAAATTAACACTTTAGTTACTATTAGGGAAACATAAATAAAACCACAATAAGATTCTAATATACATTTACTAGAATGGCTAAGTTAAAAAGGCTAACAGTATCAGGTTTTGGTGAGGATGGTGAACAAATGGAACCCTCAAATACTACTAATGGAAATGTAAACCAGTCTACACACTCTGGAAAACCAGAGAATGACAGCATAGGTATGTGCCCAAGAAAATATATGCCCATACAAATTTTTGTATTAATACACAAATGTTTGTAGCAATTTTATACATAATATCCTAAAATTGGAAATAACCCAGTTGTCTATCAGTCCGTGAATGGTTAAAGAAATTGTGGAATATTCCACACAATGCAATACCAATCAGCAATAAAAGGGAATAAACTACAGATTCATGCAGCAATATGCATGAAACTTAACAGCATTATTCTAACTTAAAGAAACCAGACACAGATGACCACATACTGTATAATTCCATTAATATGAAAATCTAGAAAACGCAAAACTATGGTGACAGAAAGCAGATCAGTGGGTTCCAGGGACCAAGGTCAGGGAAGGGGCCTGACTGCACAGGTACATAGAGAACCTTTGGGGGTGATGGACATGTTTCATATTTTGACTGTGGGTAGATATGTGGCTCTATGCATTTAACAAAAGACATCTAACTGTACACTTAAAATGAGTACATTTTACAGCAAGTAAATTCTACTTCTAAAAGCTGTTTTATTAAGGCATCTCAAATATTTGCCCTAAAAAAATTTAAGTGATATAATATCACAAATCTGTAATATGTGCTATAGTCTAAACAGAGCTTTCTAAAAGGCTACATGGATTCTTGTCAAACCAAAATGTTAGAAAACATTAGAGTTTGAAACAAATGTATTCACATGTATGATTTCAATTTTTTTGGTATTAGAATTTATTTGAAACAAGATGTTTTCCTATTCATTCAAATAAGCATTAACATATCCCACAAGGTTTTCATTATTATTTTGCATCATTTTTCCTTTCCTGGTTCATGTTAAGATATAATTCCCTAATTAAGGGATCACTTTAAGTGTAAGCTGACATTTAAAAATTTCTAGGACGTTAATTTCCTTCAGGGTCACAAATAATAACTACCATGTTTTCTTGATACTGTCTAGAAAGGGAAAAGGTTGCATCAACATACTTCTGAAGCAGTTACAAATAGTTCAATTAGAATTCACAGAGAAAAGAAGAAAAATATTAGAAGTGAGAGACAATGTGTTTTGCAATCAGTATTTTAGAAGCATAGAGCTCTAATTTATTAGATTACCACAGTAGTAGCAGGGCTTAGGTGTATCAAACAAAACAAACACATACACACATTCTTGCACCCTTCAATTCCTCCTGTAAAACTCAGAGCAAATATTACAATGACAGTGTGGCATCTAATCTGTTTGGTTCAGATTTGAAGGATGTATTTTTGCTTTTAATCAATGCTATGATACAGAAACTCAACCCATTTGGAAACTGGTTTAAATATCCATTTCAACTTTCTCCTGCTAAGTACTCCCTCAACCAGCAACCAAAATACAACAACAAAACCTTCACTTACTGTTGCAATTCAACAGCAACATTCCCTGTCAGCTGTGCACATGGTGTGACAGCTTGTATCAAAATCACCTTTGAGTAGCTTCTAATTACTCACGCACAGTTCTTACAGATGAAACTGGCCTGGGTAAACTGTGAAGGGTAACTCAGTGGAGACTACAACTCTCCCTCTGTCTAGTGCCTTCTACTCATTTCCAAGGTAGGGAAGGGTCTCATTTCAATCCCTTACACAAGCTGATCAATTCACTGATTATACTCCAAAGTGAATAGATGTCGTAAGTCTTGATCATTCAATCAGTCTTAAGATGTAACTGGCAAGTAATCTGATTTAGTATTCTTGATGTATTTTTTGCAGTATATAATGCACCTTTCCCAGATAAATTCCTTACCACAGACTCAGAAAGTGCATAAGCCAAACTAGATTTGAAAGCCCAGTTCCTAAGGTTTTATTTCCTTTCGCTTTACACATTTATATAAGTCTTATGGCCAAAGGCTTTTTGATGTGTGGTATCCCTTTTCTCCCAGAAACTTATTTGAGCCTATTAAGCACATGTTTTGGTGGAAGTATGTAAGCTTTTCGGCAGGGAATGAAGGCTACTGGGAGGCTTTGGTAAATTCCTGATCACTGGCCAAAAGCAGCCCCTTAGTACTGTTCAACATACATATTTCCTTAGTCCATTCTGTGTCCCAATTGCTTGGATTTGAGGACTTCATGACTCTGCTTTTCTCAAAAACTTCCAATAACTTCCTCACCATCCTTCATTCTCATCCTATTTCACTGAGAAAAATCAATAAAAAGAAACTTGCACAAACTTGTACCACCCTATCTACTCTCCTACTGCTGTGTGAGTTCGTACACTTTGCCTTCTTTTCTTTATAAGGACGATCTGTCCATGCACGTATTTAGGGCCAATCCCTCCCCCTACGTCCTCTATCTCACCCACTCTTGCCTACTCAGGAACAGAGCCCCAGCAGTTACCCTTTAATCAGTCATTCTGTCTTGACCATCAACATACGATAACTTCTCCCATCATTCCCTCTTGGCTCACCTCTCCTTCTAGTGACCACTCATCTCTGTGCTCACTTACACAGCCAAACTTCCTGAGCTGTCCATACTCACTGTCTTCAATCCTCTTCCATTTCTCTCTTGAACCCATGCCATTAGCTTCTGCCCTCATCACTCCACCAGAAGTGTCCTCGGTGACCTTTATGTACCAAACCTAATGCCTCCCTCCCTCTTGGCTTCCTGGCCACCTTACTCTCTTGGCTTTTCCCCAACTTCACAGGCCACTCTGAAGTCTCCTTTACGGATGGCTTGGTTCTCTGACCCCCAATACTGTACTGCCTACTATTAACTAGGCTGGGATCTTACTCTTCTTCATCCACACTCATTCCCTAGGTGATCTCTTTCAGTCTTGCAACTTTATCATATGTGGTCATGCCTACCAAATGTGTATCTCCTGCCTCTCTCCTTTCTAGACTCACATATTTACTAATTTCATAACTCCCTATGGATGTCTAATAAGTAGCTCAAACTTAACATGGCCTAAATGGAACTGCTTTTTGACCTTTCCCCCAAAACCTGTACTTCCCACAGTCTTTGTTGCAGTTAAAAGGCAAAACTGCCTTTCCTTCAATTCAGGCCAAGAACCTTGCAGTCACACTAGTTCCCTCTCATTTTCTTATACTCCACCCATCAAAAAATTCTATTGCTTCCACCTTAAAATATATCCAGAATCCAGCCATTTTTTTTACAACCTCACTAATTTTACCTCACTTTCCACTTCTCTTTCCTGGAGTATTATAAATACTTTTCTAATTGGTTTCTCTGTTTGCCCACCTCCCCGACCCACAGATTTTTCTTAACATTACAGCCAGAGTAATCCTTTAATAATCTTAATCACAATCTTATAACCCCTCCCCCTTCACCCTTTCTCCTCAGTGGCTGCCCATCTCGGAGAGAACACCAAACTCTCTTGGTGGCCTATCTGGCCAACATTTACCTTTCTGCCCTCATTCTGTGCTACTGTTCACGTGACTTGATCTGGTCTAGCCACACTGCGTTTCTTGTTCTTTGAACACACTAGGCACACTCTCATCTCAGGCACGTTACTGTTCCTTCTATAAGGGATCCTCTTCCCCCAAATTCCTCTTTTCAGGGGGGCCCTGACTACCCTACTTCAGTCTTCCCTCTTCCTAGATTTATTTTCTCTGTAAGCCCCATCATCTGACACACTATAAACTTTACTTATTTATTGTCTGAATTTTTGTTTATTTTATTTATTGGGGGTATTCCTGTGCTGCTTCAGTGAGCTCAGGAAATATATAAATTGAGTAAGCAGAAAAGGGGAAACTGAGCTGAGCTTCTCTCTCTGGGGTACTTCTTGGCAGAGAGCCTAAGAATAGAGCCTTCCCTAACAGCCTGCAGTAGAAAGGTACATTATGAGAGACTGTCACTGGAAAGTAATTGTGATTAATGATCCCCCAGACCATGGCAGAGAAGGCAGACAGGAATTTATGCTTCTGCTCTGGAGCATGAGACATTCTTTGCTAAGCCTTAGATAGATACTCTGCAGTTCTGCCACTATCTGTGCAATCACTATATTATTGTTAAAGCACTGGGGTTCTTCATGAGTTGTCAGGTAAGCTGAGATAATAATGTTTCAGAGGATATGGTGGGAAGTCAAGGTCACATGTGTGTGGTGTTAACAGTAGGTCAAGGGCACTAACGGACCAACATCCAAATAGGCACAGGGCGCCACAAGGACAGGAAGCTAGAGACCTCTTCAATGATGATAAGTGCCTTTTATAGGTTTAAAGAGCTTATGTGAGTTTGATATGCTCCTCTTTCCCTCTCCCTTCAAACCCTGAGACAAATACTCTTTAGTTTATGGCATATTTGACAATGTTAAAACATATAGTGTTGTTTTTAAACTAAAAACATTTAGTTTAAAATGTTCCTGACATTCTGGAATGCAATCCCCTGTGCTTGCTTCATTTTCTCTATGATAATAACAGAAACTTCATTAAACATTCCCGAATAAAGTCTCTTCATTAATCGAGGTATTACTGTAGAAGTATTTGTTTCCTAATCAATTCTCAAGACTATGTCTTTAGAACCACCAACCTCCTCACAGAAAGTCTTCATTTTCTACTGTGCTATTTTTTTTTTCTTTCTATCCATAGAACACATGGGAGTCCCACCAGCTTGAAAAAATATTTCACAGAGCTGGCATTTCTATCAGTGCAGACACGGCTCTGAAAACAGTAATTGCTGCCTTATGGATATGATACTCTCATTTCTACTCTGACCTCCTCCCAGGAGAATCTCTTCTGCAAATGACCACAGTACTTCACTTGAGTTCTGCGTCATCCTCCTCCTATTAGTTCAAGTGGTCTGCTAAGCGGTTCATGAACCACTTCCCTCAGCTGACCCAGATGAAGTAAGCTCTTCTTTGCTGCTATGCCCAGAGCCCAGACAAGTTAAAAATCTCAGCCTGACTTGGCCTGTTATCCCTCAGCTTCCAGTCCTGACTCCAAGATGCCTTCTTTCTATAAGTCTTCACCCTACTGACTCAGGTTCCTACGATGCACACCACTGTCTTCTGAGAACAGCACACATGGGGCAGAGCAGAATCAAGGGGAGAGAAAGAAGAGTTAACAACTCTCAGAAACCTGAAAATAAAGAGGATGTGGCTAGAAATGGGACCTCAGAAAGTTCCACATGCTAGAATGTCTCTCCTTTTGCTTTCATGGCACTCCCTTTCACCCTCAACTGAAAGTGTGAGTGTATACACACATACTCGCTGTTCTCTGGGATTTCCTAAAACTGGAGCTAAATTATAATTAGGACAAATTATATAGTTTATTTTCAGGAAATAAGAATAGCTCCATAAGTACAGACTGATTTAATTTAATATGATTTATCCACTTGTGTATTAAGGTCTGGTGGAATTTGTTTTTAACACCGGAGGATTGTGAATATTAAGACCATCTTTATATTCACAGATCTCTCAGGTATTTAAGACCTTGTTGTCTGAATAGTTATATAAGCCTAGTTATATGCAGCAAATTAGAATATATGCTTTGGTTTCACAGAATTAATTCATGTAGCTTTATGATGTTCACATACAGCAATGCAAACATTCTCATGCACATATAATGAAGGAGGAAAGACTATAAAAGGACCAAAAAGAAAAAAAATGGGCAAAAAGGTCAGAAGTAAAAGGCTAATGAGTCTGTCGACTACTGATAGGACAAAAAAAAAAAAAAAGCTAAAAGTAGAAGAGCAGGTAGTGAAGCCAGAATTTAACAAATTAAGGGAGGAATATTGGGGGAAAAGATGATCAAGGAAGAAGTGAAAAAAAAAAATTAAGCTCAGTATTTGGTATCTATTACATGGACAGCATTAAAAAAATAGAAGAAAAGCATAAGGATGGTAACAGGTGAGGAAATAATAACAGTTAAGTCCAATAAATTTTTTAAAAAGTTGTATTCATGTCTGTGTAGGCCCTTAATTCAGAATATATATCTATGATTTACTTGTTTTTAGTAACACTGAACTTCTGGTAAAACAGAAAAGACATTAAATGTGTTGGACCAACCAATTGGAATGAAAATTGATTCCCAAACCCAAGTAACACAAGAATGTACTAACTCTAAGCTCCAATATTTTAATATAAAACAGAATCCGTATTGTTTTTAATGACAGCCTGTTACAGCACTTGAGATACTCTTGAATTTAGCAGAGTGACATCAGACCTAGGCTTATATAACTATTCAAACAACAAGGTCTTAAATACCTGAGAGATCTGTGAATATAAAGATGATCTGAATATTTACAATCCTCTCTGGTGTTAAAAACAATTTCCACCAGACCTTGATGCACAAGTGGATAAATCATATTAAATTAAATCAGTCTGTACTTATGGAGCTATCTTAATCAGAAGGAAATTTAATGAAAAGTGTTAGCTTAGAGGAATACTCTAATTATTATAGGCTAATATTTGTCCACAAAAAGAATTTGTTTCAGGATTAGACAGAGACCAGGAGAAGCCAGAGGCATCAATTCAATAATGGAATGCCTAATTAAATGATAATGAAATCCTAATTATAATGTATTGCTTTGCCCTGCATATAATTTATTTAGCACATTGCTTTTCACAGGGTTTATTAAGGAAACCTAAAAAAATGCAATTACTAAAGAAGGAAAGAAAAAATCAGTAAACTAAAACTTTTTAAGAAATAGAGGAAGTAAGATGTGACAAAGTTCTAGTTATTAAAAAATGCAGGGGGTATGCTGTGTTCAATTTGTACATGTAGAAACTGCATATTTGTCCTATATTCTTCAAAAAATTGGTTATTGCCCTTATGTGCTTAAAATTATGTTAAGACATGCATTCATCACATCAAAAGTATCGATAAAGAGTTAAGTAATTGCTCACTACATCATGGTTATGATAATGATTATAAGTCCTGTGCTAGCTACAGCTACCATGGGAGATTTAAAGACATGGAAGCAATCCTTGCCTTTCAGAAGTTTATAATATAGTTGAAGTACAAGATATAAACATGTGAAAAGTTAAGTAATAACACAGGAAATGAATACAAGCTAATATAAAATTTTAAGAGAAGTGAGGTGAGTGTAGGAGAGAATGAACACTATGAGTTCAAAGGAGGACAGGATTACTGTGGGCTGAAATGCCTAAACAGCTCAGCACACAAAAAGGCTATGCTGGTATAATACATGCATAAACTAAGTCCTTGAGATTTAGAAGAAACTGGGTCTTCACTATGGAAAATACATTCTAAAAGAATCAAGTGGTTGTGGAAAAACAAGTATCAGAATGGAGTTCAAAGTCATTCTCATGAATATATGGGGATTTAATATATGATAAAGGTAACATCACAAATCAATGGAGAACAACAGATTAAGTACACAGTGTTGGAGAAAAATGAAACCAGATCCTCACATCAAACAACACATGTAAAGGACTCCAGATGGATAAAGCTGAAATATAAAAAATAATTACACAATTAACAAAAGAAAATGGAGACGAAGTAACAAGGAAGGTTTTTAAAAACAAGACTTCAACAGCATAGGTTGTAAGACAAAAACTTTTTGATTACACTAAGAATTTCTGTTCAATGAATATGTAATAAAATAGAACATACCTGCATTGTCTAAAATTGAACAAGGGATTATATCTAGAACATAAGAACCAGTGCGAATTAACAAGTCACTATGGTAATCCCAATAGCAATATAGACAAGATATAAACAGGAATGGATAGATGAGGAAACCCAGAAAATAACAGGCATGTGAAAGTTGTTTGTAATCTGACAAAACCAAATTAAAATATACCTATTTGACTGACAAGGATTAGAAAACTGGATGATACCAAGTGTTCATAGGAATGAGAGGAAACAGGCACCCTTGTGCATTGCCAGTGGGTGTTCAGAGAGGAGTTATCTATTATGTAGTATAATTTGGGGCTGGTCAAATTCAGGTTACCAAACCCTATGACTTGGCAGTTCTACTCTTGGACATACAACTGTGTGTCACTTGACAGGGATATGTTCTGAGAGATGTGTCATTAGGCAATTGTTGTCATGGGAACATCATAGCACATACTCACACAAACCCAGACAGCATACAGCCTATGACACACCTAGGCTATAATGGTATGGCCTATTGTTCCTAGGCTACAAACCTGTACAGCATGTTACTGGACTGAATATTGTAGGCAATTGTAACATAATGCTAAGTATTTGTGTGTCTAAACATAGAAAAGGTACGGTAAAAATACAGTATAGAAGATGAAAAATAGTATACCTCTATAGGGCACTTACCATGAATGGAGTCTGCAGGACTGGAAATTGCTCTGGGTGAGTGAGTGAGGGTGAGTGAACGTGAAGGCCTAGAACATCACTGTACACTACTGTAGACTTTATAAACACTGTACATTTACGCTACACTAAATTTATTTTAAAAACTTTCATCAATAATAAGTCAACCTTAGCTTACTGTAACTTTTTTACTCTAAACTTCTGAAATTTTTTTTTTTTCTTTTTGCGATGAAGTCTCACTCTGTCACCTAGGCTGGAGTGCAATGGCGCAATCTTGGCTCACTGCAACGTCTGCCTTCCGGGTTGAAGTGATTCTCCTGCCTCAGCCTCCCAAGTAGATGGGAATACAGGCGCCCGCCACCATGCCCAGTTAATTGTTGTATTTTTAGTAGAGATGGGGTTTCACCATGTTGGCCAGGCTAGTCTCGAACTCCCGACCTCAGGTGATCCACCCGCCTTAGCCTCCCAAAGTGCTGGGATTACAGGTGTGAGTAAACTTCTAAATGTTTAAAACTTGACTCTTTTATAACACTTAGCTTAAAACACAAACCTATTGTACAGCTGTACAAAAATATTTTCTTTCTATCTTGATTCCATAACCTTTAATTATAAAAACTTTTTACAAAACTTTTTGTTAAAAACTGAGACACACACACACACACACACACACACACACACACGCCTAGGCCTACACAGGGTCAGGATCATCAATATCACTGTCTTCACCTCCACATCTTGTCCCACTGCAAGGTCTTCAGAGGTAAAAACAAGCATAGAGCTGTCATGTCCTATGAGAGCAATGCCTTCTTCTGGAATATCTCCTGAAGGACCTGCCTGGGGCTGTTTCACTGCTTTTACTGTAAGCAGAAGGAATACACTCAAATAACAATAAGAAGTATAGTACAGTAACTATGTAAATCAGTAACATAGTCATTTATTATCATTACTTACGGTATATAATTTTATGTGCTACCGTTTTATACAACTGGCAGCATAGTGATTTACATCAGCATCATCACAAACATATGATGCTGTCACTAGGTGATAGGAATTTTCTAGCTCCATTATGATCTTATGATCCTGCCATCATATATATGTTTCGCCACTAACTAAAACATCATTATGTGTTGCACGACTGTATATCCCAAAGGAATTCTTACACAGGTACACAAGAAGGCATCTATAAGGATACTTCCTGTGATGCTTTTTTAACGGAGACAGTTGGAGGCTACATGGGTGTATGCTTTTAGGAACCTGAATAAGCGACATGTGGAAGGGACACAGCATGAGAAGCTGGTCGTCGGAAGCCAAGCACTAGACAGGCTCAAAATAACACAAATGTATCTTTAAAACAAAATGCTAAATGAAAAGGTGACATAGGAATATAAAACAAAACAAAAACATTTCACAGAAACACAAAGACCAAAAAGAGATACACGTTACATATATCAGAATGACTGCCTATGGAAGAAGAAGTGGGAGTAGTATATAGGGATAAAAGAGATCAAGTAAAAAATAGTAAGAGAAACCATGCTCAAGACCAATAATGATAATGCCCTGTAAAGAGGATGACTATTCTTCTGAACCTGAGGTCTTCATTAAGTAATTAAGAGTATTCTTAAATAGACACTTGAAATACAAATCAGGCCCTTTAAAATAGCCACACACACACACAAAATCTTTAGCTACATTATCCCCTCAAATAATGGCATATTTAGAAAGGAAGAGCTAACACACAATTTTCAAAGCAAGGATTTAAAAGTCAACCTCCCACTGCCATGGAACACTACATGTTTAATATACATCATGGGAAAAGGAGGAGGGGATGGTTTGTCTGAGCCAGTGAAACCCATTATAAACTGGAGTACTACAAGTT